TGTGGGGGCGTGTTAGAACGAGCCGTTTTAGGTAGGCGTGGCTGACTCTTAACTTTTATAAAGAATATCTCTTTGGATTTGAGACTTTAGTCTTTGCAACTTTACAGATCTTCTTTATGCACCAAGAGCTTGTAACACTCCAACGAGAAAGGAAAAATTGAAATCGCATCATATGACCCCTTTAAATAGTACTAAGTTGCACTGTTGTCACATGATCTTAGTATTTTTATCACATGGCCTCAGCATTTTATGTAAAATATCTTGTGGCAGTCTAAAAAGAAGATGGTAAATTTACTTTTGGAAGCTCAGTGCATTGCGGGATACAACAGTGGTTCTCAACACTGTTTTTTCCTAGGACATCAAGAGGCAATAGTACCAAATACAGTACCAAAAGTTTATTGCACAAAATTGTTTTTTTTATTTATTATGGTTTCATGCTCTCTAAGCCACTAATTCACCACACAAAACTCACTGTGCTTAGCACAAACACAATCCATGTTTATCTTTAATGCACCTCCATTTAATGCACTGCAGTCTGGATGGTAATTTCTTTGACTTTTGCATGTATTTTTAAAGGATGAGAGCATGATACACATGCTGATCATGTTTGATTGGATGCACATCCTTTAACGTCAACAACAATAGATATTGAAAACAGTTTCCCTATACTTGCAGTGAAAGTCAGATCATGTCTGTCTGTTGTTTTCAATATGCTTAAAGACGAACCATGTTCAGATTCATCAGTCCAAACATTTCTGAACATTTTCTGCATAAAACAGCAGAGTACCAAAGACAGATGTAACCAATCACAAACATGTAACAAATCCTGTCATCTTGCGAGTTTGGGCTTTTCATATCATTAAGCGTTTCTACCTATGGACACTTTATATTAGGTGATTAGGGAACACATATTCACTATTAACCCACAATAAACTCCTAATTTGCTGCATATTAATAGTTAGTAAGGTAGTTGTTAAGTTTAGGTATGGGGTAGGATTAAGGGATCTAAAATACAGTCATGCAGAATAAGGCATTAATATGTGCTTTATTAGTACTAATAAACAGCCAATATGCAATATGCATGCTAATAATCAACTTGTTAATAGTGAGAATTGGTCCTTTTACCGGTGTTTTTAACTACTATACTTAAGTCCCAAAAAAATATTGTTAGGTATAATTTTGTGTTGATGTTGAATTGCAAAACACTTTTGCTGCTATTTAGGTGGGATATAGTTAAGGTTAAGGAAAGGTTTGGTGGTATGGTATCTTGCTAGAGTTTATTGTTGTTTCTAAATCATGTTACTTGCTACTAAGTGTCTGTTAGAACAAAATACGGGAGTAGAAAAGACTGAATGCACATACAGTAAGCGTTTTGTGCAGCATGATATCTATTTTGTTGTTTTTGTTGTTGTTGCCTCATTAAAAAATGCGCATGCATTTAAAAGAAATGTCTTTTAATTTTACAGTATATATATATATATATATATATATATATATATATATACAAAGCAAAAACATCAGGTGACACCGCTAATCATCACAGCACAAAAAAATGCATGTGCTCAGCTCATCCATTAGGCTTTAAGTGAGTGAATCAGTGTATAGATGGATGAAATATGCAGAAATGTGGTATGACCAATGATCTCAATCCAGTGCATGCATGTATGCACTGCACACGCAATACTTAACAGCGCGGGGTGAGTATATGGATAAGAGTGAAATGAACTTTTGTTTGCACATGTATGGAAACGGATGCACTCACCAAATATCTCTCCATTCCTGGCATATTCTGTGACTAGATAGAGCATGTTTTTGGTCTCCATGACCTATTGAAAGAGAGGAAACCTAATTATTATTCATTGCATGATTATGGGAATGCAATTAATACCACAAATCGCAAAAACCACAAGAGCACAAGAGAATGACAGCATTTTCACCCGTCACAAGTGTTCACACTTGGCTTCAAGTGAGAAAACAATGCTACATCATTTTTTTGTGTGAGCCAAAGGAGAAGATGACAAGTGATTCACACTTAGTCAATAATATTATTTTAGAAGCACAGGTGTAAAATTTCACTAAGCTATTTTCTCTACGCTGCTGTCCTCTCTGAGCACGCTAACAAAAGTATCATAGCATAACCTTGTCTTTTGGACATGTACCATGGTATTGCCATCATACTCTGAAGTACACTAGAGTACCATATTATAATACTGTGGTACATGATAGTAGCAATGATTCAGTACAATGGTATACGCAACTATCAAACATTTTTAAAAAATGTATATACCTCACAATATAAAAATTCGAGCTTGAGACTTTACACTTACAATACAATACAATAACAATTAATACAATAAATATAATAATAAAAAGATATTAATTTTGTAAATTAAATAATTGTACTAATATTTATTGATTATTATCGTTATTTTATTATTTTGAATAATAATAATATTATTATTTTGGGCACAGCTACTTATTTTTTTTCAAACAAGTTAATAAGTGAACCAGTGAATAATAATAATAATAATAATAATATGTATTATGACGTTACTGTTAATTTTATATTTATTGTTATTATTTAAAAAAATATAGTAATAATTTTAACAGTTTTTTCCCCCCAGTTGACTTGCCAAAGGAACAGTGAGCAGTTTTTTGAAAGCTCTATGTATAATGTCTAATACCAGACAGACAGATCACAATATGAGCACTGCCTCTGGTAGAAGTCATAACCGGACTGCTGCTGATGCTGTATTTGTGTTGTGTAACAGCACAGGCAGCTGTTGATACTTTCAGCATCCAGGCCCAGAGTGACCTAAAAATCTTACATAACATAACAAGACTAACCCTATACAGCACCCAGATGAAACTCCTGGATTCAACAGTAGTCTCATGGGATAAATGCTAATACAGGTGACAAATCAAATTGGTTGCATGGGCAGCTGATGGATTATCACAAATTTATTATAAATACACACAATACGCACATTAATGATTATGATTTACCTGGTAAAGCTTTATGATGTGAGGATGGTCCAGCAACTTCATGATTTCCACTTCCCTGTAGATCTTCTCCAGGTTCACTGCATCTAGCTGGGTCTTGTCTATGATCTTAATAGCCACCTGCAATTCAGCAAAAATGTAATGTTAGTTGTACTGAGCTTTTGTTATTCATTATTTACAGTTAACAGAAAAATAAAGGAATTTATTTATCCACTGAGCTGCACTGCAATAATAAACAACAATACAATGAAACGGTAATAATTTACCTTTCTAAAAATCAAAAGACCACTTAGGCATATGCCATTTTTTATACAAGACTTTATAGTTGTAATAAAGTAAAAAAAAATCATTGCTCATAGACTGCTTCCTTTCTCACGTCTTACTTTACAGCACCTTTTATAATTATGCAACTGCAACTGGATATACAGCTGTTCCACTTTTGCCTCTAAGTGAGAAATGGTGGGAAGCTGCATAACTTGTTTGGTTTTATCTGAACTGATCTTGACTGCAGCTCTTAGTCACTCTGCAACTCAAGTTCAGAGAGTAAACTGGCCTTTTTCATAGCACAACAACAATGAAGGCTAATACTAATCCAAACGGATGACAGAGAAACAAAGGGCAGATCCAGCCAGTGCCTGTTATTTAAATAAAATACACATTACGCAATGCACAATTTAAGTACTTCATCTAGATAAACAACAATCTGAACGTGTAAAAAATGTTTCCACTTATAATTTGCCACTGTGTCCTAGATATCAAAGGTCAGTGTTGTTTGTTTTGTTTTGATCTAAGCAATTCATATAAAATTTGAAAACACATTTTCTGTGAAGAACATGTTTCTTTTTGATTTTTAAATTAAAATATAAGTCTTAAAAATGCTTAAATGTTTCATTTAAAAGTCTCATAAGTAGTTTGGTTAGTGAAGAAATAAAATGTTAAAATATTAATATTTTTAATAATCAAATTTCTGTATGGCAAGTCAAAGTCAGTATGGTGACACAAACATGAAGAAATCCATGTCATGTGACAAAAATCAGGGAATCCCCTTTAGAGCGTTTTTTCTTTTAAATTTCACAAAGTATTTTGACTTTTTTTAGTGCAACTCACATTTTCAAAGTCAAATAGAGTAACCCCAAGAAATCATAATAAAATAATAAAAAATCATTTTATATGTATATATTACATATTATATATGAACTAAAACAATTTACTTGCACACTGAGTATTTTTTTTATAGTTTTATATTTTATTTTATTATTTTTAGTTGATAGTTACACCACGTGACATAGTAAAAGTCATTACATCTTTTCTTTGTGCAAAACTGTATAAACGCTTTTTAAAAATGTATGAAATAACCGTGAGTACAAATATAACATTACGATATCAGAACTTAGCACGTGTGTTTTAAACTGCATTTTAAAGATGATTCTATTTTTCATCTCGCAGATCACATTTGTCACAGACTCAAATACAACTTCCAAATATTTAGGCTTAACATTTTCTATAGATAGGCTATTCTCCTTCAATGATAAAAGTGAAAGTTTAAGTTTTGTTGATTGCACAAACGCATGTAAATTGAAAACACTAGTGTGTGAGTGAACGTGTGTGTGAGTGTGTTACTCACCTCAGATTTCGTGATACGATGTTTCGCCAGCTTCACAACTGCAAAATTGCCTTTTCCCAGCGTGCGCTCAATATCATAAAATCCCACGCGAACCGGAGCCCGCTGCGACGGCTTTTGGTCCTGGGCTGCCATGACCATAGTTTTCTAGTGAACTACTGGATAAAGAGGTGTGTGGATGATTTGGCCACCTTCACCTGCTCATACAAAGCAATTCAAGTGGCAGGTATGATGTTGTTTCTAATGCCAAAGCTAAAATGCAAATGGGGCATATGGGTGCCAAGGGCTCCTGCACATGTCTTCGTTTCCAGATAAGGGCTCTAACATGACTGAAATGAGAGCGCATTCCGCTCTGATGCTCGGCATGAGGAATGATGTTCTGGCTCTCGAGCTCGACATGCATTGACGTCAGTGCTGAAGGGATTTTATAAAGGGGCGGATCTCACAAAGCGGCTTCAACGTCCGCGATGCGACCAGCATGTCACCAAGACAACCCTATCCACTGCGTACGTCAATCAGTGGCTATTGCAATCTCTACAAACACTTTCAACTCCGTTGCTTACATCTGACCTTCGAAAACCCAAATGCATTTCATTGTTTAGAATCACTGAAAAGATCCTGCACGCGACACCATACCACAAGTAAATACAAGTACGGATTTTTATGAATTTGTGCTGCATGCATTTTTCTTAGACGACTGATTTTACTTAACGCGTGAAAAAAGAAAAGAAAGAAAGAAAGAAAAGAAGAAAACAGGCATAGATAGCGGGAGCTCCGTGCTTGAAGTGCAGCTGACATCATTGCATTGCTTCATATTTTGAATTTATTTATTTATTTGTTTTTTTGTGTGTTTATTTAACACCGCAGTGTGGAAAAGGAACCCTAAAAACATAACAAAAACAACGACGATAATAATAATAATAACAATACTACATGTTATTATTATCCACTATTGTTGTTTTATATTTTTGTGACTTTAGTGTCTAAAACGCTGACAAGTAATGTATGTCAATGCACATATGCATATAAAGATAATATTGTGTCTATTATGCATACCAAATGGCTTTGCAGTATTTTAGAATAACAACTTTGATTACACATGAAATATTGCTATTTGGAGTGAAAATATTCTAGAATTTCTTTTTAATTTAAAATATACATTTTTCAAATAAATAAAATATGTTTTAAAATGCATATAATGTTGTATTTTATTAACATATATTTGTACATTTATTTAAACATCTAGATCTGCACATCTACGCTCACAGGGCTCTGAGCATGTTGTCAGTGAGCGACCCCTGGTGTCAAAAACGCTTACTGCTGTTTTTAACCACACATGTACAGTACATAACTATAGATGGTGATGCCGAAATATGGAAGTAAAAATGTTTAGTTTCAACTTCATTCATTTGTTTTTTTGTTTGTTTATTAAGGCTTCACATCACTGCATTCACATTCCGATATTTGCATATAAGAAACTTGAAGGATGTTTGATCATTCATTATTTCACAGGAAAAGACAGTCTGCAAGAGATTGTCACAGTGTAATTACTGAGCCCCATACAGCACATCCAGTAAAAGCAGCATAACAGGGTCATGCAAACCAACTATGAGGGCAAACAAGCGATCTCATATCCGAGCATCTCATTCTGATTTGTTGAGCAGCTTGTTTGTAATATTGTACCACCTTTGAGTGTCTATCCTCCAGAATTTGGCTTTAAGATGCATTAAAAACTCCTAAGTATTACTGCATTACTGTTATAGATATTTTATGTGTCATAGGAGCCTATAAAAACTAAAATCATAATATAAATAATAAAAAAAAAAGAAATGGGCAAATTACATCTGATAATCATATGGGACCCGTAAACTTCAGATGTTGTTGCACTGAAAGTCTGACTGAATTAATGGTAGATCTGCAGAAATCTGGGTATTGGTTTCTCTAATCAGGGTTATAATAGTTTGAAAATAAAATTCAAACCATACAATTGTAGCCTACTTACTTTAAAGTAATCACTAAGTGAAACAAAATGTTTAAAAAACTTTACATTTAAATCTGTTTTAGCTTATGTTATTTCAGCCAAAGCAACAATTATCATTTTCGTTTAGTTTTAGTAGCTTATTAAAAAAAACTAAAACTAAAACTAAAGCTGAAACTATAAATTAAAACGTATAAACTGTATTGAAAAAACCCTAACTAATAATAATAAAAAATGCTAAAACTTTAAATAAAAATTACAACGAAATGGAACATATAAATAGAAATCGAATTCCTAATATTAACAAAAACTATATTAACAAAAACACAAACTAATGGTTTATGAATGATACTAAAATAACACACGCTCTCATTCATTCAATACAGTACAGGGTACACACATCCAGGCCTCTTTTGAGCTCTAGCGTCCTCCTGATTTGATAACCTATACTGAAATAGATAATATTGGATATCTGGCACCAAGGAAATACTCGGGTAAGACATCATTTTTACAGGAGAATATGCAGTTAAATGCTAATGTTCACCTTTCATATCAGTAGCCATATAATTCATCCATCCATCCCTGGTCTCTGTAATATCTCCCACTTCCACGGCCTTGCAGTGTGTCATACAAATCGTTGGTCACAAAGCCGCTTTCAGTGCTGGTCAGTGTCACAAAACCACTTTCAGTGTCCCGGCCTGCCAAGTTGTCGTAATCTCCAGGTGGAGTGTCTGGAGAAGAACCCAGGAAGGAAGTGTTCTTGATGTCAGGCCGCGTGCCGGCCAGGTCTGATTCATGCTGCCTTCGGATGACGTTATAGACGTCAGGGCTTGGGCTGTTGCATCTTTCTCCAGCGGCCCAGTATCCTGGCTCCTTTGGAGGGGTCTCAGTCTGTTGTTTCTTCCTGCATGCATAAATGATGTTGTATGCCATCAAACTGATCATATTTAAAATGCTTCTGATCAGAAAGAGAGCAGTCAAACAACGCACCTCTTTGTGAACAGCTTAAAGCAGAAAACACTCGTCGCCACAATCAACAGCAGCAGAAGTGGGATGGTTGGCAGCACAATGTAAGCAATATTAAGAACGTTGTCTGAAAGACACGCAACAGGACATTGGTTAGTGTGATCAATAAAGTCTTTATTTACACTTCTTTTCCAAGTTTGGGGTTGGTAAGATTTTTTCATATTTTTGAAAGAAGTATCTAATGCTCACCCAGGCTGCAGTAATATTGTGGAATTTTTACAATATAAAATGATTGTTTCCATTGTAATATATTTTCAGCAGCCATTATTCCAAACTTCAGAAATCATTTTTTTTTTTTTTAGATTTTACTTTAAAATACACCAGGGCCCGTATACCTGAAAAATCTTAGTGCTAAGAGTTGCTCCTAGTAACAAAATTCTAAGAAAATTCTTAGAAATGTGGGTGTTTCCTCTTAAAATTAAAAAAAGAAAAAAGTAATTCAGAAAGCATCTTAACCCTTAAAGGAGGTCTTAAGGTCCAAAATTGTTAGGAGTACGGACAAGGACTTTTAAGAGGCTTAAGAGTTTCTTTAGCAGTGGAGAAAATGGACAAAACATGAAGAGGGAGAAGAAATGTGTTGCACACAATGCTTGACAGTGAGTTAATAAGACGCTACACATTAGATGGTGCAGGGATCATGTTTGTGACCGATCTTATTAGAGACACGCTAACATCTCCGACACCGCACAGAAATGGAAGTAATCACTATATTAACTACATTAACATATTTGGCAACTGGAAAAATACAACTATGCAGCAGTGATGATTTGGGTCTGTCACAACCTTCTATAAGCAAAGTGATCACACAAACAATTACAGCACTTTCAGAACCTTATTGTGTCGCTGTTCATTTCCTATCAAATACGTTAAGTATTACATTAACAGCATGGTAAATAAAAAAATAAAGAATATATATACATATATAATGTGTGTGTGTGTGAGAGTACGGTAAAATAGGAAAAATTATGCCTGTAATTTTCAAAGTGAAGGCTTATAATAGACCCTACACTTAAAAGCACTCTTTTATTTCCTTCTTGGACAACCAACCAATCACAGTCTTCAAAAGACTGTGTCATATAGCTAGCAACGGGGTCAGCCCCACCTCCACACTAAGATGAAAGTTTTTGTCTTTTCCTCACTCAGAGTTGCTCTCAGATGGGTCCTGAATTGCTCTTAAGCTAAGACTCCTACGTAGAAATTTTTAAGCTAAATTAGGAGCTTTCTTAGAGGAATCTTAGTTCTGTCAGGACCACTATCGTCAATATAACTTACGATTAGCATACATTTTAGGTCGGGGGAATGGTTCTGCTCTGGGCAAACACTCCCTGCCCATCCACGCAGCCTAGCATGGATTGGAGCAGGGAGAGCAGAATACCCCCACTAGGGTAACAGAACAGAACCAACATCAATGATAAATGTAGCAGATACCATTAATGTTCTACGTGATTATTTTAACAACATGATTCAGTGGTCTGACTCAATGATATATTCACTGCCAAGTCCTGACTGGACGAGAGGAGGAGCTGGGGATGGAGGTGGGTGATTAGTTCCTGAGCGTAGCGATAGCTGCTGAATAATGACTGAAGGGACCTTATTTTATGAATTATGATTGGTGTCGTGATCCTATAGGTAGACGTGGACCAGCTGAGTGTTAGCTGATGCGAGCTTGACTAACATGGCCTGCCAGAACTATTGCTACGCTCCATAAGAATACGGGCCCAGGTATTCGGTTAAGTTTTAAGTCAACACAGTATACCGTAAACAAAGTTGTAAATAAAACTCCAATAAGTTTATTGGAGTAAATTTTATATACTACTTCTACTTAAATATTTCATGTTTCATTCATTGTTCCACACCATTTTTTTTCAATGTACAATGGGGTCCAAACTTCTGAGACCACAATGTCTAATTCTATTTCAATAGATCTTATTGCAAATTATACCATCAGCATAATCATTTGAATGAAAACTTGCATCATGATTCAAGATGATTTAAAGAGCAGCTTGTGCTTCAGTGGAAGCAGGAACATCTGATCGGGTCTACAGAGAGTCACATGACCAATGATACAAGTTTTACTTCATTAGTGACGCAGAAATAGTTCAGAAGCTGAAATATTTGCCTTTTATTTGCGTCATAATTCTTTAAAAATCGTAAAATTAGGTTTACTCCAGGTATTTCAGGTTTGAATTAAAAAAAAAAAAATCTCAGATTTTAGAACCCATTGTATTGTGTTAACAGGTATTCATGTCATGACAGTCTTCAACCCTGTCTGTGAGAACAAGACTCACCTGGAGGTTCAGATACGACCACCCTCATGCCATCATCCTTGTCTGTGACAGAAGGGTTTTGGGGTATTCTGGGTGTCGGAAGAGCACCTGTAA